ATGTTCACTGCACATCTTTACTTCTGGCATTAACCTGCATACCATATCTCACCTCAGCATCTTAATCTAGTCAAACACTTGCAAATCAATTTGACTTCAAGCCAGGATAGTAATAAATTAATCATATTTTGGATGAGGAAAAAGTTAGAGAGAAAATGATACTTGGTGTCAGTTTTAAAATGTATAAATAGAAAGTCACTGACAAAGTCACTGAGGAACTGTAATGTAGTTAACTCTGTGTACAGATTATTTGAACACAAGATGCATGTTGTGCCAGTTGTTAAGAGACCGTTGTTTAAGGTAGTATGAACCAGCAGCAGACTGCAACAGAGATTAAACCAGAAGTTATAAATATAAAAATAATTGTCTCCCCAGGGGAGTTTTAAAGAGAAAACACTATACACTAGCTTTAATCATGTTTGAAATATCTGTTTTGCTTTCTGAATTCATGAAAATAGCCATCTTATTGTTTTCCACTGGTGCTCAAACCGTGGTAAAGCTTCAACAAGTATAATAAATTCTCTGCAACTTCACTTAAAAGTGCATTTCCTATGGAGTCAGATCAGTGTCAGTATTAACGAATGTGTACAAAAGGATTCACAAATGCAGGTTTTATCTATAAAGAACTCCAAAAATATTTTTCATTGCACACAAAAATATGTGCCTGTGGGTAGATGGAACGCTTTTGGATCACGATGGCCTCAAATCTACGTTTAGGTGATTGACTGAAGCAGAAGGAGCCATCTGATTGGCTACAGGTAATTAATTCCCTGTTGAAAAAAGTGCCTTTGTGAATCGAGCCAGTGCAGGGGGCTCTCAAAAAAAAACAGTTTTACAGTTTGTAAATAAAATATTTGTGGATTTTGATTACAACAAAAACAACAAACGTGTGTGCATCAGAAAGACATTTGTGAACCATGTTAACTAATCTTTTACATTCACGATACATATTTTTGTGTTCATTGAAAATATTGTTGCAGTCATTTAGATGATAAATCCCGAAATACATTTCTGAACCCTTCTGTGTGCATTCATTAATATTGAGACTGATCGGACTATATAATGTCCTCACAGATATTGACACTGCACAATATGACGCTGTATGTGTTTTTAAAAGGTTGTGTTTTGATGTATCAGCTTGTGATTAGACTCAAGCATGTGTGGAGCTTGAAATGTAGGGAGCCCCTGGCCTCAGACTCACCCTCCATCCTCCCCCTCTCCCTCCCGCCCAAACGGCATCTCAGTGCTGCAGCATCTTATTCAATGCCAGTGGTTTAACACGTAAAGCATGGGACAGCTTGACAACAGCTACTGTCTTTCTGAAGAGGCATGGAGAAACAGAATGATAAATGCATATAAACAACATGTGGAAGTGCACTGCTGACCACGCCTTTACTTTTAACTCTAGAAATAGTGGTGCTGCTGCTGCTTTCCCTTGAGTTCCTGATGTGTACATTTTGCTTGTTGCTGCATCTGACTTGCTGCCTGAAGAAGTTTTCCTGTTATTTTTTATTTATTTATTATGTTTGTTTTTTAAGAATTGGCTGCTTTTATTGTTACTGTCAGGTAGGGCCCCAAGACAGTAAGAAAAGAGTAAATGATTAGTTTAACTATGTATTTCTTATTTATTTATGTTATTTAGTATTATTAGTTGGACACAAGAAAGGAGAGGACCTGAAATTGTCCTTTGTTCCCGACAGTTGGGTTTTGTTTTATCCACTACTGGGTGAAATCAGCCTAGAGTGGTGGCCCACATGAGCATCCTTGTCAAAAAAAACGACCCAGATTAGTTAACAAATATTGTTTAATAACTGTTTTGAAGTTTCTAACTTGTTTACTATGTTGTTAATGTTTTCTCATTAAATGGCTTTGTTCTAAGTGCTATTATGTCTTTGTCTTGCAGGTAGATAAACTAGAAACCTCAGAGTCCCTAAGGAAAGAGGAGGAGCAGGCAACAGAGACGCAACCCATCGTCTATGGTAAAAATCTTCTAATGACATCAGTGTCCATTTCACTGTGATCCACAACAAAGGCAGCAGTCTTCCTTCCACACATGGCACTCTTTGTCCTTCGATTATCCAGGGTTCCCGTTGGTCGTTGAGCTTTGCAGAACTTTAAATGTCAGAATTTATTAAACCCTCTAAATCCTTCAAATCCTATTAATTATAAGGGCTCTTAAGTGTAAAAAAAAAATCTATATAATTTATTAAAACACTCATAAACCGAGCCTATCTGCTTCATGAAGTCTGTTGGTGTGGTTTGATCAGATTTGATTGACAGTGAACAAACAACCCACCAACCATAATCTGATTCTGATTCAAATGTTTTAAAATCCTGATAGGTTGGCACTGGAAGTACGTGCCATAGCATGTGTACTTTTATATGAGTGATAAGAACACAGAGGGATAAAAAGAAATGCGGAAATCATGAAGAAATCTAAAACAACTAAAACTGTTCATCACTGCAGCAGTGATGAAACAATTACCGGTTTAACGGTAAACCATGGTAAAATTCCCGACAGTTATTACCGTACACATTTTAATTACTATGGTAACCGGGTACGGATAACCGCGCTGTTATAATCTCACGGCAAACACTGTCCAGCGTCTCCCAGAAGCAGGCGCGAATGCGCAGAATGCAACGTGGGATTGTTTGGGTCAATGACAACACAGCGGAAGACAACGCTGCTGAGATTTTTCAGTCACTCTTAAGTCCGGTCGTATTTTAGTTTTTACGAGAGTGCTGAGGGAAACTTGATTGAAGAAAATAACCTTATAGTGAACGCAGGGTGAGTTAACTTTTAGCTTTGGTTTGTCTCTGACTTGCTTACAGTGTGTAAACTGAAGCTCTGCTGTTGCTGTGTGCGTCGTGTGTCGGCAGTCTATTCGTCCACTGCACATAACACGTTACGCAGTTTAATCAACCAACCAGCATATCTAGAAACGCTACAGAGTTCTCTGTATTTACCTCAGTTTTTGGGCTCATTGCAGTAACTATCACTGTCTTCTAAAGGCTTATTTGTTTTCATGTAATTGTGCACGGGGTCATTGTATTGCCTATATAATATAAAATCTTGATAATGCACACTTAAATGATTTTCATGTTTACAAAAGGTATTTGCTGTTTTTTTTATGCAAACAAAATGGCAATTGTATTTGTAGTTTTCAATATAAAACTTGTTGAAATAGTTTCAGTATGTGTATCAGTACATTTTAATCTTTTTCGACACTTTTACAATACCGTGATAATTCTGATAACCATGATGATTTAGGTCACTATAATCATGATATAAAATTTTCATACCATTTCATCCCTACTTTGCACTAAAGTGTGTGTTCATGTAGGATCCTGTCACTCATCGTAACATGTTTAAAGGCAGGAAAAGTTAGATAAATGTAATATCAGAGAGTTTAACAAGTCATGGTATTTTGTGTCTTTTGTGCATTCATCACAGTAGATGGTAACAGCCTCTTTTAGTCTCACAGCAGAAAAGGAAATTACATGGTTTACCACACATGTAGTTTTTAAAGCTAAAACGCGATCAACAAACCGAGGAAGCACTGTGACCAAATCAATAAAGTTTTACACCATTACTGTGGCTGTGGTTAAATGAAACAGACCAGTTACATGTTTGTAACACGACATTTGTTTGTTTGTTGTAGGCACACCACAGCTGATGCTGACAGCAGGCCCCAGCGTACCTGTGGCCCCCCAGCAAGCTTACGGCTACGGCTACCAGGCGCCGGCAGGATACAGTCAGCCAGCAGTTCAGCCAGGCTTTGGCTACGGCATGTAAAGACCACACCCCCCTTCTCTCCACACGCAGGCTGGAGCCTACCATCCATCCATCTCCCACAGTCCTTCACCAGACCATTGTTGTCGCTCTCTGCCCTCTACAGAGAGCGAGGGATAATACAGACAAACTTTTCTTTGTTTTGTTTTTTTTTCCCCTCTTTAAACTGTCATGAAGGACTCTGTTTTATTTCTGTTGTCAAAGAAAAGATTGAATCACAAAGATTAATTTTCTCACATTCCGTATTGACTAGATTAATTTTTCTTTTGTCTATTTTATTTGAATGGGTTGAAATGGTTTATGTACAATAGGGGGCTTGTGGGAAGAGCTAGTCCTCTTCTCAGTTAAAAAAAAAAAAAAAAAGGTCTGTTGTGAAGCATCTGATTTGCACTCTGTAGTGAGAAGAAATTAATGTAGAACCTTTTCCTTTTGATGTGTGTGAGCAGCTTATTCTGTCCGACTGTAAAATGCATTTAATTATTGTATATTCAGACACAAAAAAACGCTATGTTCTTCTATATTTGAACATGTGACCGCCGCTTCCATGATCACAATCCTGAAACACTACGTTGTCCACCCCCAGACATTTTCTTGAAGAAAGCCCAAGAGAGTATTTTACATACGATTTACAGGAAAGTTTGATTCTTTCCAGCAAAGCCTATGCAGGACTCTCCAAACAAATTTGCATTCAGACAACATTTCCATGAGCTTTAAATACTGCTCTAACGTGCAACCATTCCACCTCCAGAGGGACTGCAGACCTGTTTGTGTTTGACTAACATCCCCCATGCCCCTTCTTCATGCTGTGGTTTGTTTCTGCTGGATATCATTTTAGGTCACTGTTATTGAGTGTGCAGGAAAGGTTTTTTTTTTTCCAAACTTTATTCTCCTCATGTCCTGTTGAGGGTTGCCTTTAACCTTTTCAGTTGACCCGCTCATCCAATTCAGAAACAGTATCAGAGGACTTGTGGTAATTTGAAGTTTATCAAAGGCTTGCGTGTATACAGGAAATCAATCATTAACTCCTTGGAACTTATATTCTTATCTCAATTACCGTAGATTTAAATTGTGCACTTAAGATAGCTGACGTGCATAATCAGGATCATAATGAATGAAACAGCGGTTTTGTTTTCCACTTAAAAATAAAGGCTTCTTGTTTGTCAAGAACAGTCTGATTGTGTCTTACATATACTGTCGTGTGCTGGAGATGAACACTGTAGAGCTACAGGTCCGTCCAATAACGTAGCTGCACATTCAGCACCCCAAAATAATGCATGAGGAAATGAATACTGAGCAGAGCGAAAACAGGCTGTAAAGTGTGTGAGAGAGATGCTGTTTGTAGTCCAAGGTTATATTACACAAAATAATGTGATGGCACAGTCCTAAAATAACTTCCCCTATTCCAAACAGTGTATCAGTGGTTCTATTGGCTGGTCTGAAGATTGCACCGAAACAGGATATTCCTTTTCTAATTTGTACAGGCTTCATTTCAACTTGTTAACACCCCAGTTCAGTACAGTGTATGTATATTAAGATGTATGTCTTGGATTAACGTGCTCCTGTTACTTTGTCTAACTTGTGTAATGTGTACTGATTCTGCTCAGATCAGTTCTTAATACAGACGGATAAATAGCGCCCTCTGATGGTACAAATCAAGAGGGTGCTAGAAGTAAAGCAGATTAGTAAAAGTCAGATCTGGTGTGAGTTATTACCAGTCAAATTATATTTATCTCATCTCAAAAGAGAGATTGTGACTTAATGTGTCTCAGAAGATGAAAGTAGGTGCACACAGTAAGACAAAGTAGATAATATAACCAATTAGGTGGAGGTATTCATTCCTACTTTCAATTATCTAGAACAAAGCGTAATGCAGCATTTAATACCAGGGAAAAAATAATTTTATAATTGTTTTATAAACAAAATCCAAATGACATCCAGCCAGGTATTATTGATATTACATTGTGACCTCCATGATATTCTTAAGTGTTATTTACAGAATAAAAATTAATTATTTCAAAATTAATTTTGTGAGATCAGGACTTTCCTTGATTTTTATTAAGTTTATTAGGGTCCAAACAAAATGTGCAAGGACCCTATTGAAATTGATATTTATCATTTTGGGACCATTTTCACAGCAGTCATACATTTGACATGTGACAGCAGGAAAAGCACAGGGTCCTTAACATGAACAACTGCATTCCATTTATATCAGCAAATTCAAAGGCACGGCTATTCTGCATGCTGGCTCGCTGGACTCCCTGTTATTTTACTGATTTTAAGGAGATCTACAACAATTATTTTCATCTGAGCATCATGTCTTCAGACACAGGCCTTAGTAGAGTGGTTTGTGTAGATTACACAACCAATGATCTACAGTGTTGGTGGTGTTTTTGCCACAGCACCATCACAGTCAAGTAATACCCGTCAAGCTGTTACTGCTATTCAAGAGTCATCTGATTTCAAATCTGATAAGCAAGAAACAAAAGCCCCAAACTGCACAAAATGATTTCAATTAACATGTTACTTGAGTCAGTCATATAAAAATATAAACTCATGGTAGCCCTACTTAGTTTACATTGCAAGTAGTTTTAACAACAAAGAATTTGTCCTACAGATGCAAGCAGGAACTTTAATACAGCTTCAAGTCTCCAGTGACTCTGTCGATCAGATCAGCTGGGCCTGGACCGATACCCAGCACCGTACGTGATCCGGGTGCGATTTGTGTCCTTCCTGCGTCCTGAATCAGGCTGATAGGAAGCCCCACTTGTTTGGCATGACCCAGCAGATCAATCAGGGTGTCCTCATCCGGGGCCTTCACCACCACCTTGGGTTGGCCGCAGTACTCCCACTGTTTGAGAAGCTCGGGGTTCCTGCGCTGAACCTGTTTGTAAGCTGACACAGCAGCATGGGAGCACTGGGCGGCGACTTTTCCTTTGCCCATCTTCAGGTCATTTCGGACCACTAGTATCATCTTAAACTCGCCTCCTTCTCCCATCACGCTTGCCTCACCAGTGCCGTTGCCCATCGCTGCCACGAGGCTTTTGGATGTTGCGCCGAAGCGAGCCCGAAGGTGCCAACCAAGGAAGAGCCCACAGCCCAGCCCTGCTACTGCACCCAAGCCCAATGGACCACACAGCAAATCCATATTGTTAAACCTGTAAAAATGACAGAACAGAATAAGATTATCAAAAGTTAGTTTATATGTACATTTTGTTTTTATTCCCCATGCCAATTGGAATTTAAACATAAGTTATGTCTATGTCACACATAGACCTATAAACTTAAAAGTTGAGACAACAACATCGTGTTTTTAAAGGTGAAAACAGAAATTCATTCTTGACCTTGGAAACTGAAAGCTGACAAAACAAAAAAGTTCAGCAACTGTTCTGGGGCTTTTGATCATTTCACATGGTCTTCCCCAGTTCTCACAGAATGCATCTATGTTCACGTTTCCATTCCACTGTGCACTTTTAAGACTTTCCTCCATGTTGGCTTAAAAATTGAGATTGAGATTCTGACTTTCTGGAACTTTATAAACGTTATTTGCCCGTTATTTTCTGCATAACAACGATAAATGTTCAGTTACACCTTTAGATAACTGTAGACAAACAGCATTTAGCTCATTACGCACATACGGATATTTTAAGTTATTTTGAACAGTGTTGAGTGACTGTGACTATAATAATGAAAGTGTACACGCACACTTTAGTTTGTACATACATTACTGCTTTATCACATGACTGAACTGTTGAGACACAGCAGTTTAGAAACTAACACCTTTGTGGGCTAACAGGCTAACGATGGTTAGCTAACGTAAATGTAATGTGTGAAACTAATCAGTTAGCTTCCTGGCTAACGACAATACCGCTTTCTCTCCCCTCCAAAACACCGCGATTTCGACTTCTCCTCATACATTTCATTCAATTATTACACAGCAGAGTCCACTGGTCACACTCCATACCTGCAGGTTTGTTCGACGAGCTGGCAGCATGAAGCTTCATCTACTTTTCTTATGGTCGCTTGGTGATGACGTCACAACACCACGACATTTCAATAACTGACCACTAACCAACCATACAATAAAAAAAAATAGACTGTAACCCATTTTTAGTGATTTAAACGTTATTTTAAACAAATGCTCTGATTGTGAAATGTATACGTTGTGTCATATTGTCAACAAGATTGTCAACGTTTGACTTACATAAAGTTGTCAAAAATAAATAAATGAATAAGATATTAAGGCACTCCAAGAGTAACTAAGAACATTTTTGGCAATGAACTGACTGAAAATGGCACTACAATTGTAGTCATATAAAACAATACTTTAATTTAATACTGTATGTGTATGTTATATATTGTATATTATATTTTTGTTCATGTGCAGCAAAAAGCATTTCCCTCCATCTCCCGAATATCAGATGGCAGTGTATTTTAATCATTTTTATGACACAGTTAACTTGTGTTTTGCTATTGGTCACATTGCTCTCAGAAAATTCAACATCTGGAAATATCACAAAGGCCTTTTTGTGTTATTGGCTTCATTTATAATGACTGATAGTAAGACAAATTGCCTCATACCAGCTCCTAACAGATATCAAATGATGTAATTTTATTTTTATTTTTATTTAATCATACTTTCAATATGTGGGGAGTGCTTGCGCATATTCCCCCACGCTACAGACAGGGTCATCCAGCTCCTGGTCAGAGGGTCCCATCAAACATGTGAATCAGGACATAGGGGTAATGATTCCTGCTATCCTGATTTCCTTCCACAAGCCATCGGAACAACAATGCCACAAGCCAAACACACACAAAATGTTTTAATATACGGCGAGAGGGCCGATGACATCCATGTGTCATCTGCCAGCAAAGTTCAGCACAGTATGCCGTCATGTCATATAGGCATCTCACTTGTGTGCACTTCATCCTACAGTATAGGTCTTAGACATAGGCCTACCCCTCCTTTACTGTCTGCTATGAATCTATGAATACAGTTGAAAATGTGTCAATCATGTGTTAACTAAAATGTTAAAGGTGGTATACTGTTTTTACCATTGTGCTTCACGTGCCATACATGGCTGTCTCTCTCTTCGCTATATGTCCCAGACTCAAGATATCAAACCAAATATCAGACATATATGAGAGTTTTAAAAGTCACTTAATTATTTAAACAGAGATCAAAGGTCAAGTTGTTTCAGTTGGTTGTAGTACAAATACTGTTTCTGAAAATGCACCAGCTTTGTCAGTGGAAAAACTCACAATTCAAACACTCCAGGAGAGCATAGCTGTAAACCTGCCTAAAACTGAGTGAGCGTGCAAGAAGAAGACTAGTTAGAGAGGCCACCAAGAGACCTGTGACAACTCTGAAGGAGTGCCAAGCTGGCTGAGATTGGAGAGACTGTTCATACAACAACTGTTGCCCAGTGCTGCTTCTCTTGCAGCTCAATGGGAGAGTGGCAAAGAGGAAGTCACTGAAAAAAACATGCTGGACATCTGGGCTATAGTTTGCAGGATGGCACATGGGAGACTGACATTGGAAGACGGTTCTATGGTCTGAAAATTGGAGCGGGACCTGGATATATACACAATGGTGGCCCTACGCAAGAGCGTCTCTGCAGTTGACAGGAAATGACGTAACCTCAGCAGCGGAAGTTGGCCTTCATCTGGGCATTGTTGCGTGAACATCTGCACTGTGCATGTGCATGGTCCACTTCTGGAAGACAATGGAAAAGACAAGAAGGTGGCAAAAATGTGTGGCCAAATATAACCATAACACTGTGAGCCAACATCACAGGATGCTCCTGTGGTTTTAAGTAAACACAGAAACACTGCCAACCAATAATCCGTTGATGAACTGCTGTTTACTTTATAAACATGAAACTGATTTATTAACAAAATGTGTAAATTGCATCATAGATTAATGATTGATTCACTTGATCTCTTGCTTATCTTGTAGCCTGCATTTAAGGCCTCACCGTTACAAAAAAGACCCCATAATGGCTCAATTAAACTTACATACTTAGAAAAAGAATATTCTTAGATGTTACATATTTTCCATGCTATTAAGGAATGAGACAACAAAGTAGAAGCGTTACAGTTATTTTATGCTTTTATTTATTCAATTAACAATTTGAACTATTTAAAACAGATGAGCGAATCTAAAG